ACTACAACCACTACTACTACCACTACTACTACTACTACTACTACTACTACTACGACGACTGCTACTACTACTACTACGACGACGATGACGACGACGACGACGACGACGAGGACGACGACGACGACTACGACGGCTGCCAATTCCTCGGCACAAGTGGTCGCGCCTTCTTTGCTGGCGGCGCCATGCAGGGCAGGAAGCGCAAGAACACGAGAATCAAAGAAATGGTGAGTCGATGAAATGTCGTCTGTCTTCTCATCCGACTTGTCCGCGTCATACTTACGGCATGAAGCTTAAGGATTTTAAGGCTTGAGTCGTAGGTCGTCGGCATTATTTCCCTGTGCTGGATCCAGGAAGCCACAGACTTGCAGAAACCTCTTCGGACATCTGCACAAAGCGCTTTCTTTCTCACAGCCACCTTTTGCACAGAGCCCGAGTCCGAAGCTTCGCGCCACTTACTCGATCTCATGCCTCTGTAGCAAGGCTCCAAAGACGAGACCGTGCCACATCAAGCGCTCATCAGCCACCAGATTCAGCGAAAGCATCCGCAATTCGGACTTGCGGGCTGCTTCCAACAAAAAATCCATGCAAATCTCAGGACCTGCAGCCACTTCACCATCGCTTGCACAGGCGCGGGACGCACGCGTCAAGGGAACAAAGACCTCTTCGCGCAGCCCTTTGCCGAAGATCTGGTCTGTATGTCTGCGAACAGCCTGCACTGCCGTCGGTGTGACCTCCATAAGACCTCCAGAGTCTTCAGAGTCCAGTGACGTGCGAACAAACTCTTCAAAGACCTCATCCTCCAACCTCGCTTGCAGCTCCTCCTGTGAAAACCTGGATTCGGGGGTCCCTTTTTGGTGATCGTAGACTTGGGCTGCAAGCTTCAGGCGCTGGACGTCCGGATTTAGGCTCAGCAGACCGGAGCTCTGGACCAAGTCAAAGCGCTGGCTGAGCCGGCTTAGCAGGTACCCGAAAAGCACATGCCCGAAGTACCGATCAGCCTGTGCGACGCGTGTGTTCGACATGAATTCAAAATACTTTTGGATCTGCAAGGCTATTTCTGACTTATTCTGCGAGGGATGCTTTACGATTGCAAGCGGGACGAGGCCGTCTGAACCTGATCGGTTCCAGTCCGGCAGGCCGCTCGCACCAGCAAAGCTCCGCGCGGCCTTCAGGACCAGCTGCTTCGAGGAATTCACGAGTTGGAGGAGGCTCTCCTTTCCGATTCCCGCGAGCCCAGTCTCTGACGCAACGTATGTGCGCAGAAGACGGGAGCCCCGAGTGTTGCCAAGCACAGCTTGTTCCATGGCCTGGCGCACAGGGCGCGTGAGCGGCAACAGAGTTACTGGAAAGGCCGCATCACCTGCTAAGTCAAGCCACTTCTCTGCCCCACCACAAAAAGTCCAAGTCTTATTGCGGCTGTCCAGACACGGCGGCAGCGGAAGATGAAGTGCAAAGTATTCCCGCATCACTCGGAGATACTGCAGATCTGCCTTCAAACGTTCCCCCACTTCTCGAGAAAATGTCTCTTCCAGTGAGGATGCAAGTCTGGAGCAAGTGCTGCATAAGGACTGGAGTGTTGTTTCGAAAGTGGCATCGAAGTCTTGAAAGGGGACATGGCGGTCCGGCCAGTTTAACAACAAATAAAGCAAAGACTCGTCTGCCTCTTTGGCATTCATGTGACGCCTGTGACGCTGAGCGCCCTTCATGTCTACGGCTGTCACCTCTTGTGCGTGGCGGCCCGCTTCCTGTGCTTCGAGACCTAGACCGAGGTCATTCGCGAAGTCGTCGAAGTTCTCCACGATCTCTTCCAAAGCGCAGGCTCCCATGCGGTCGGCCCAAAAGACGGCAGCGTGTACGTGATCCGTGAGATTTAACCGGGCCAACCATGCTCGAAGACCAGGCACCCCTCCGTCCCTGCACTTCTGAGCAATGCTGTTCCAAATAGAGGCAAACTCCTCATCGGCCACGCTGTGTGCATCAACCAAGATCTCTTCAAGATCCTTGCCGGCAGAGGTGATGGCAGCCTGCGGCCGGGAAGGACGTGCGAGACGTGCGGTCCTCCAAAGCTTCGCTGATCTCTCCGCATCGGCTGTGCTTCCCACCCAGACTCGACAAAGTCCGAAACAGACAGCCAGGAGAAGAAAATACCCCAATCTACCCCGTAGGACTCGAGCATACCAGACGGCAGGATAGCGCCTGCGTGACATCACAGCTGTACATGAGATGTCCATGGTCGTAGTCCTTTTGCAAAAAATTCGTGAATGCCACGTATCAACACGTAAACTACGATTGAACTCGAAAGGTGAGAACTCCTGTCGATGCATGCCTGCCTGGGTTTGCAGAGGCCTACTTCAAGTTGGCACAATGGAGCAATCCATACACTATAAGACCATAAGCCATAAGCCATGTGTTTCAAGGGGGACCTGGAACCAAAAAAAGTGAGCGAAGATAGCGAAGGCACATTGGCTTGAGTGGCAGGTGGTATCACGGCATGATGGCATGCGATGCCCTTTGTCGACCCTTATCAAGGTCATACCGCCACTCAGGTGTCCTGTCACGGCGCGCTCAGAGCTCTGTAACCGAAAAGACGATGTTTCCACCTGCCGAACTGGGTTCCTCAGCCATGACCCTTGTGCACAAAGGATGAAGCACCCTTGCTGGAATCCGGACCAGCAATCGAACTGCCCATGCATCTACATCAATCCACTGTCCCAAATGCGCGGCAAGCCAAAGAAGTTGCATCTCCCTGACGTCACCGCTACCACTATCGATTCATGATCCTGTTTTTCTTTGCCGTTGCGACTTTGTGGGCAACTCAATCTGGCACCATGCTGAACACGAACCCTGTTGCACCTCAGCACTTGGAGAAATCGGCTCGGACCGCATTGTGGCTTAAGCGTTGCCCTGACTTGCAAGCTTCTGGCACTGGAGATCAGGTTAAACACAGCAAACAGAAGGGTTCAGCAAGTGTTTGTCAGTCTTGCAGTGGCTGGTAGTCCACTCACGCTCCATCAAGCCAACAAGGGCCGTATGCTTCAAGGCCTTGCACCTGGAACCAAAAGATGAGCGAAGGCACATGGGCTTGAGTGGCAGGCGGCATCGGCATGGCATAACGCATTGCAAAGCCTTTTGCCGGCACTCACATATCAAGGTCATACCGCCAATCAGGTATCCTGTCAAGCAGCGCCCAATGCTCTGGAACAGAGAGGATGTTGTTTGCGCCTTACGACATGGGCCACAGTAGATCTATGCAAGACTCCTCAGTTTCCCGAGTGTCCCACAAATGTGGCCACTCATGGCTGCGGAGGGAACTCCGATTCCAGGATAGGTGGAGTCTCCGCAGAGGTGCAGTCCTGAAAAGACTCCGAGATCCGAAAAAAAGATGCTGCCGGGGCACTGCTCTGATGGCCAAAGGTGCCAGTCCTGGAAGGGGTGTCGTGTGCCCTGGAAGGTTGGAGCCTGCAAGCACCTTCTGAGCAAGCAAACTCAGCGGCTCTGCGGCTTGCAGCTCGCTCAGCTATGCTCGGAGAATCGGAAATTTCACGGCGCTCTGAGCTTAGAGGTCTCCATTCCCGGTAGCACCGGGCTACCGAGAATGCTTTCTGTGAGACTGAGGGAACCACCCGCCAGCCGTAGGCACCTTTGGGCTTTCGCAGGAAGCGCCTCGGTGCAAGTCGGTGGCCAAGCGACGGCCGGCTGCCAGGGCGGCTAAGCTCCTGGCTCATGTGTGAGGGGGGTTCCAACCTTCTGGAAGACAATTCTTGAACGGATGTCGGGAACCTGGATAGGACGAGATAGGACTGCAGCATGCACCACCGGGCCAGCATTCCTGCCAAGCTGAGTTGGAGACTTGACGTTCGATTGCAGAGATAAGGAAATCTCCAGCTTCCTTCTTCTTCTGCTGATACCTCGGCGCATGCAGAATTCTTGCACGGACACCGCATGTCCTGAATTGCAGCACCGAACGTCCCGGCTTGCACCTAAACGAGATGATGCTTGGTGGCCAAGTGGCTGTTCGGGGGAAAGACCCTGCAATCAAGGCATCGCTATTTCCCAGCATGTAGAGTGAATGCCTCTTCAAAAAGACCAGTGCCTGCCAGTCTTCCCAGGGCTCGGTAGCAGGGGTGTAGGCGTGCAAGCTGTGGTAGCCCTGGCTGAAAGGGCAGCGGTCACACCGCTGAAGGCCCAGCCCGGCCCGGCCCAGCCCCATCCCGGCGCCTCCGGGGCAAAGGTGTCCAGCAGCGATGGCACGCTGACCAAGACGCAGTTCCTGCCACTTAGCAGAGGAAAGCAACTCCCTCTCCCACCCACCCACTCCCCGACTGCGACCGAGAGCCCAAGCCGAGGCCTGGGGGCTTCCAAGTCTGCCCAGTGGTTCACCACACCCCACTGCGCCGGGAACTCCGGACAGTGCCGTCGCGGCAGACCCTGCAGAACGAACCACTTCCCAAGAGCTCGAACTACATGCGACCGAGGCCTTGCCTGTCCCCGGAAAGCCATGTGGACATGGATGAAGGACTTGAGTGGTTCGAAACTTGACCATTGCTCCTGGCTCTCCGTGTGCAACACCGTGCAACGGAATGCCACAGAATCTTCGTCCGGCCTCGAAGAAAGACGCGAGCTCGGGAACCTTTCCAGACGGGAAAGGACGCGACAAAGCGCCAAGAGACATCTGGGCAGGGCCCGGCCTCGGCCTTGACCAACCCCTTTGCAACACCGATGTCAGTTCCACAAACCACGGCCTCGCCGCGACACGCCCCGAGACTACGGACCGGAGGGCCGAAACAAAACTGGGATGCCTCTCGCGCTCGAATCTTGCTGCCATTGCGCAGCCGCACGCCCGAGGCCCGGCCGTTCTCCACAAGGATCTCCTCTACGTGCGCCTGTGCCCGAAGGCATGCAGAAAAGGCATGCCTCCCTCAAGCACTGCCTTGGTCAGCACCTTTCCAGAAGGACTGGTCTCTTTGATGCCATCCACTAGCGCCTCGATATCTGCTCAAGGCCCGTCAGTCGAACAGCAAGCTGAAGAAAACGGCGACCAAGACAACAAGTAGCTGCAACAAGAACTACAAAAGATCGACACTTCTACGACCGCGCCATGACGAAAAAAAGTCGACCACGGCCACAAAGATGATGACAACCACGACCACAACCACCCAGACAACTGCGACAACTACCGTGGCGGCGGCAGCAGCAGCAGCAGCAGCAAAAACGAACCAACAATAGGTAGTAGCTTAGTAGCCGCAGCAGCAGCAACAACAACAACAGCAGCAGCAGCAGCAAACATCATCACCATCATCATCACCACTTAATTCATTGCTCGGAATAACTGTTCTGCCGATCTCCTTTTCCTCCTCTTCTTCTTCCTTGTGTTCCTGCACAAGATGATGATCATAATGATGTACTGAATGATGAAGAACTGTGGAGGAAGAAGCAACACCAACTAACTTCTATGATGCTTGCCGAGCTTGCTACAGGAAGGTGGGTTCATCTTCTGCTTCACCTTCATCATCGTACCAATCAATCACAAACTGTGTTTTGGTAGAGCAACTTGGCCTTCCCACGACTCCCCGACACAAAACGAAGAAACAAGTGGCAGGCTGGCCTGCACGATGGATTCGGAGCCACCCTTCGGATAATCCAGGCCTCAAGCCGTCAGGTGGCCACTACATTAGGAAGGCCCCATCAGCATAATTCTGTGAGCCCACTTGTGTGAGATACGGATGAATTGTCCAGGTAAAAGGCAATGTGTCGGAGTTGTTTCTCAGTTGGAGATGCAGATGTATAAGCTCGGGACATGTACCACCCTTGCGGTAGAGATCGGCCATCATGTAAGCCTCGTAGCATATTTTGTCTGCTTTCTTCCGAGCAAGCATCGACGGAAGCTTCCGTGAATTCCGGGGATCTCGGCCATCATGGACGTCGGGGACCCGTAACTTGGGAGGCCCTGCAGCAGGAAGCTGAAGAGACTGAGGTAGTTCCTGACGGCGTCTCTAGACATCCTTGCCCTGCGATCCTCTTCCAAAGATATCCAAGCCTGACAAAATCATCCGTGACACCAGCTTCGTTCAGGAAGGCCTCACGACAAGGAAGGAGGCTCGGCATGCTTGGCCAAAGGCTAAAGCGGCTAAAGCTTCCCCTTGTCTTATCTTTGGCACCACGACGAAACAGAGGATGACAAACTTGAGTATAGCTGGCTCTTCCCCGCCTCGAAAGGCTGGCTCAGTCGTGCCGCCCCTTGGGGGGGCATCAGGACCATGCACCACTCACGATGAAGGTCACTTAAGGCAGCCTCCAGGGATCCCGAAGAGGAGCGGGAGAAGGCGTCTGGCAAGCAGACGAAGCGGCCAAATGCTGCGACTCTGCACAGACAGCCATCTCACCTCGTATATCTGCCCAAAGTAATGGGCGCGAAGGGATCGTCTCGGAGAGCGCCGAAGGGTGGACTGTTGTAGAGGGCCTCGGACATGGGCTTCAGCTCGGCCATCAACTCTTGCCACTGGCTCACCGCATCGGGACCTCCAAGCAAGGAAAAAGCACGCAGAAAGTGGGGGGCCATGCTGAAAACCCTGCAGAAAAAGGCCTCCAAATCTTGGCAACAGCTTCTTGACCACCTCCTTATAGCCTACTGCAACGTTCACCTCGCCCTCGGGCAAGAAGGCATTCCACCCTGGCTCGCGGCGAGAAACAAAGATGCCAGCGAAGTTTCTGACAAGCTGTTACAGGCAAGGTACGGTCATAGGTAATCCACTCGGGCTCCTTCACCACAACCAAGGGGGATTCCCATGGGACCGAGACAGCGGTAGCGGTTCGTCCTTGCCGATAATCTGGAAGACGTGCTTCAATTGGGATGGGCTCGCTTCCAAGCTCAGGCCGCTGTACAGCGATGGCCCCGACTCGAAGTGAAATTCCTCGGTGCTTTGAGCGGGTGCAGGCAGCAGATCTGCGCATGACAGCATGTGACAGCCAGGTGGCTCCGATGTCTGCGACCTTCTCAGTGAAAGTATGGCAGGCGCCACCCAACCTCTGAGGCGACTGGGCAGAAGCACAGTTGAAGTGGCAAGGACAATTCACCGACAATTTCCGAAGCGACCAATCCATGAATCAAACCATGTTCGCCGTGTGTGAAACCACGAGTGAGTGTCAAGCAGCCTGTAGTGAGATTCACATACAGTGACTTTCCGACCAGCAGCCGCCAGAACAGCTCCGCAGCTTAAACCGCCCAGGCCGCTTCCGATCAAGACCACGTCCTAAGGCTCTGCCACATCACGTTTCAATCCATGAGCCAACGAAAGTCCGAAATAACAAAAGCAACGTACATGTGAAAATGGCATTTCGTTGTCGAACACCCGTGAAAAGAACAGGAGAAGCTTCGGCTTCGTGATCGAGAGATTGTGCCTTGCAGACACTCCCACGTCCTCAGTCTGCACATGCATTCATTTTTCATCCAATATCCAGCAGTGTTGAATCATGGCACTTCTTCGCCACCCGGAAGTGGATGATCTGGAGCGGCAGAACTGCAGCCCCTTCCTGAGCAAGACTTCCGTACGTAGAACATGCGATCTGCATGCGCGTCAAACGTCAAGCTTCAGCTCAAGAATCTGGCATGAAACAAGCGGCCGTGAGCATGTTGCTGCCACGGAGACAACCAAGCTGGCAGCAACTCTATCTAGCGAGGCACGTGACGGAGTCGATGATGCCTTAAACGCAGTGCCAATCGGCAACTGTCATTAAAATGCAGTGCAAGTGAAACGGCGCTTCATCAAACAAATACTTCCTTCCAACACACCCTGAACGGCAAGAATGCACAGGAAATGTAATGCAGCCAAGGTACACTGACGTGGCGGTTCCATCTCGGGTTGCCCACATGGTGTGGACTCGTATTCCACTCAGCCGGTGTTGTCGGCCTCATGGACAAACATTAATCATTAGTCGATGGCATACGCCCAAATGCTGACGCTGCCTCGCTGGTCGTAGCAACATGGCATGCGAACATCACGAAATCGATAGCGGTTTCAACTGTCGCGCTGAAATTGCATCAACCTGCTGTCCACTGTTCATCTTGTTCCGTGGCACTGCCAGAAGCTACTCGAATGTTGTACTATCCTGCTGTTTCTCGTGCCCATCTTTTCAGCTGCGAGCGAATGCAACCCTTGAACTTGACAACATGCACATTGTCTCGAACTAACCTGGCTGGACGTGTCTGACCCGCATTGAACGTATATCCATCAGCAAAACCCAGCCGCTGCCAGGCTAAGCGGCTAACCTGCTTGCTGAAGAACCTGACTGACTGCATGCCAAACAATTCATGCCTTTGTGTCCCTGTGTACGTTACGGGCTCTTATAAGTTTTCCTTGGAACCCTGGGCTCTTTAGGTTTTTCCCGCAGCGCGCACACTGCTGCGGCTTGTCTCGGAGGATTCACTCCTCCGGTTCGTCCTCCTCGCAGCTTGTGTAGAAACCGGAGGACCTGCTTAGCATGAGAGCGGGCACAAGCCAGAAAGATGCATGAAAGCTTGGCTCCGGACAACGACTCCTCTTCTTCCTCCATGTCCGCGACAGTGTTACGATCTGCACGTTCGGATGCTTCCTGGCAGGAGCACTTCACTTAAATTATGCTTCTGGTTTAGGGTGCCTTAACTTGAAGGGCGGACCTGCACAGATCATAACTGCGGAGCTTTTCGTTTGTGGACTTGTCCACATACTCATGCCACGCATCTTTGTCGAGACCTGCTCAGATGGTCGCCTTCTTGGAAGTTCGACGCAGGTTTGCCAAGGCTCACACCGAGCAGCTGCAGTGCTCTTATTGCCAGCTCGTGTATGGTGGCGTTGTAGAGCATCTGTGCAAGATTGTGCTACGCTCGAATCCTTTGAGGTTGCCGCTCAGGTGGTTGCCTTGACCTCCGCGGTCTTGCCGGAAAGGGTCTCCAGCGTGACCTTGGTCCTGATGGCATTCAGGATCGCGTGTTAATTTGTAGCACTTCGGTTTCTTGCTGAGGCTGCTGCAGGGCGTGCCTTACGACACATTTGCGCTTCCATACAGGCAATTTCACTCTGGCAGACATTGTTGGTATGATTTTGCTGCGATGCTGCATGTGCTATCTATGCCCTTTCCTGTGTATGATCATTCTTCTCTCTTCCGAATCTTGTTTGTGTCTTGATGCCGAGCCCATGTTTTTGCATGATGCTTGAAGCTTGAACGCGGCTACAGCGGAAGACATACATGGTTGTTTTTGTTCGGAAGACACTACTCTCGCCATTCTAGAACTAGTCCTATCCCTCTTCCACAGAGGTGCTCTGGACCCATGCGGTGATGCGAATCGCCACGCTGGACTCGGAAATACGGGTCATGAGCTAGTGAGCAAGAACCGGCCGTTGCCGAACCGACAGTTGCGCTATCCCACGCTGGAATAGCAAAAGGAAGGCAGTCGCCACGCAGTCGTTCATGCTCCAAGGCAGTCGTCGTCGCGTTCTCTGGCTCATGTTGTTGGAACCGAAATCAGCTTTCAGCGAATTGAAGGCACTTTTCCGTGTAGGTATGGAGGCATGGATTCACAAGGACCCAGTCGCCATGAAACGGACACCTCTTGTGCCGCAAATATGGGGAACAACCTTCTTTGGGCTAGCATGCACTGCCCCCAGTAACCTAGGACCTAAGCCGGACCTAAGCTGGAACGGTGCACTGATGTGCTCAGTTTGCTCGGAGCACGAAGCAAAATCACTGCCGTCACCTGCAAACAACACTTGGACCACTTTGAACGTGTGGCACGTCAGCTAAGCAAAGGCCTGTGGAAGCGCTTCCACGTGGCCACAAAGAGTCGCTCGATGGCACCAAAAAGCGCATAAAGCGTTGCGATATATGCACCTCTGGGCTAGGCCGCGGCACCACCACCGTCTTTTGCAATGCGAAGCAGGAGCATATACTTATCTAAGAGGTGCACAACGCATGAAGAGGTCTCGCCCGAGCGTTGGCGACACCCCGACCTTGTGGCCAAACATTCGGAAGCTTGTTGACTGCAGATGACTGCAGATCCACAGACTTCTGCAGCCAGCGCACCCAATTGTCGTCGGCATCGTAGATGAGGTAGGCGTCTGCCAGGAAAGCTTTGGAGAGCGCCAGCTTGTGGAGTGTCTCGGACGCCATGAACTCGTTAGACGTGACCTGGCGAACGCAACGCACACACGGAGGACCTTGAGCCAAGCTCAGGTCAGCTTATGTTTGGTCTGGTCTTCCAACTCGCACTCGGCCGCCGGCCGCAAAGTTGTACAGCTGGTTTAAAGGAGCGCTCAGGATCTCGGGTGGAATCAAAGCTGGACTTCCACTACACCCCAAAAGCTGAGGCAAACAACATCGCACCGTGTACGGCCAAACTTCAGTCAAGAATCTGCAGATCCCATGGACGCGATAAAATCGCCAAAAAACCTCACTAGTGAGATTCTGAGACATAGTGAACCACCAATTCAGATCGACGTCTTCCAGGATCTGTAGGGCGTGAGCTGCTGCGCTTCCAGGTGAAGAGGACAGCCGACAGCCTCTGCGGCTCTGGCAAGGCCCGCCTGTGATTGTGGCCACTCTCAGTATCGGGGTGAAGCTGTTCATCGAGGCTCGCGGCTATACTGGATTGCCTTTGCCTAGAATCTAGAATGTGTCAGAACCTCGACTTGCCATTTGTAGAAGCCCAACTCAGGCCAAGACAATCTTAGCGTTGTGGTAACAGGCAAGTGCCAAGGACGGACGCGGGATGCTACTAGTACCCTTAGCTTGCTGAATCTCTTTATTTTCGATTGAAAATATATGAAGAAGTAGAATGACGTAGACATAGACTCTTTTGCCGGCTGCTCATGACGCCTTGCCCGTTGGACATTCAATGGACCGGAGCCCGGTGGCAGAAACACTGAGAAACATCCCATCAACGCGGATGTGAACAGAAGGGGGCCCTTAGGACTTCGAACAGACTTTCCGATGGTTCGTAGAAAACTTAATTGATTGGGTTCTGACTTGGCTTAGGCAACTTGTCCAAAGCGGATAGTCCCCCTCCGCTGTACCTGGCTCCGACATGTCATGAGATTCGGGTGCTAGTTCGGCCCGGCCCGATAGCTAAAACTGTACAGACGCACGACACCAATATCCTGAAACACAACCCGTAAACAGAAAAGATCGACATCGGCAGCCAAGATGTTATGCACAAACAAAAATCATCCCTAGCAACATCGGAGACTGCAGAAAAAAGTCGTGGTAGTCGTAGCACGGGGTTCCACCCAAGATGATCCTTCGAATTGAGGAAGCAATACTTAGCATTATTCAATGGTCCTAACTGTTAGGAGGAACTAACATCTGACATGATTTGCTGAGAATTACAAAGATGGAAGAAAAGTGGCACTTGCAGTGTAACAAACGCTGAACACTAGCCATTACCCACAGCAACAACACTGACAACGACGCTCAATGAACTAACTGACGATGAGAGCATGATGAATGCTAGAAGAACAAACTAGTAGTGCCCAAGCACTAGTACTGGATCTCGCAGTAGCATTGGTATCGCATTAGTATCATGAAGGGTGGGGGTCGGGGTGGGGTAGGGGTAGGGGTAGGGGTAGGGGTAGGGGTAGGGGTAGGGGTAGGCGTACGGGTAGGGGTAGGGGTAGGGGTAGGGGTAGGGGTAGGGGTAGGGGTAGGGGTGGGCCATGTCGTTCGTCGATCAGGCCCGCGACGACAAGATCCGCTCGTCGACCAGGACGTACCGCTGCCGGCCACTGTCGGTCTCCAGATGGGCACCGATCGGTTCAAGTGGGTGGGGGTAGGGGTAGGGGGCAGGGGCCGGGCAGGTGTTGGGGTAGGGGTAGTGGTAGTGGCAGTGGAAGTGGTAGTGGTACCGGCAGTGGTAGCGGTGCTGCGGAAGTCAGCACAGAACTCGGAGCTTCACAAACTTAGAAAAGAGGGTAGCGGTTGTGGTGGCGACAGTGGCGATTGTGAGAATTGGAACTGCTAGCAATGCGCTTCAAACTGGCCTCTGTGCCCGAAACTGCGCGAGAACATCTGCATTCCGGGTAGACCACTGGCTAGTCAACATGATCTGTTAGCGTTAGCATTACGTTGACATGGAATCTGCAGCATTTGCGAGAAGCAACCGCGAATGCCTGGCAAGGTGCAGAGAAAACTCGCAGCCCGCTGAGTGCAACAATGTTCCCTCGGCTTGCACACTTTCAAAGATCCGGCAGCTTCATGGTCTCTCGTTTGAGACATGTCTCGCAGCACATGTGCGGAAGATCCGGGACCCCATGGCAAGAACGGGTTCCAGAGCGGCACCTAGCCAAGTCTTGTGAGCCTTGTTTTGGCAGCTGACGTCATGAGGAACCCTCAGGTCATAAGCCTGCACACCGCCAAACAAGGCTTGATCTGCGTTGAAGGCCATCTGTGCCTCGGTGGACAGGATCTCGCAAGGTGCGAACAAGAGAAAAAATGAGAACCTGGCATTGATGGTCTGAGAGGGATATGAGATCGTGCTCTCGGCGAAAGAGCTGCACACGACAGCCAGGGGAGCCGACTGAAGAAGCTCCTGACTTGTGTGTGAATCACCAGCAGTTAGCAGTGATGCCTCTGTCCGATAGTTCAATCTCGTGTCCTTCAAGAAATGGAAGAGCGGTCCCATGACTATGAATTGTGGGCAACTCGGCGGCACACAAGCCAGGCCTGTAGCGGACGTGTGGTTCGTGCGACCCCAGGCCAGCATCATGCAGCACGCATAACGTCCGACGACGCCGCAAGAACACACATGTAGACACTTTGCAGCACGACCTCCTGTCCATCCAGCAGCGAACCCGCCGGCAAACACGCTTGAATACAAGTCCTGTTCAGTCAGACACACATGACACAAAGACTTGCGAAGCTGTCCGAGTTGAACAAGGAAGCGCTCCAACACGGCACCATCTGGACTCTGGCTTGCCAATGTCAAGGCATTTCGGAGAGGAGTCAAGAAGAAGATG